AGCAGTGCCCTGGCCCATCTGAGCCTGTTTCCTCCCACGGTACAGAGATGTCACCAGGCCATGGTGAGGATGAGGTGAAACCAGCTTCCAGGCGCCCATCCCCGGGCCCCACAGGCACACCAGGCTCAGGAGCCATCAGCTCCAAAGTCTCTGCGGAAACCCCCAGGGACCTGGGTCAGGCAGCATCTGGGCTGGGAGCAGCTATGGCCACGAGGACAGGAGGGGCCAGGGATCTGAATGGACCAGGGCAGGCTCCTGAATGATCTCATGCAGCCAGGAGGTCCCAAGCTGGCCCATCCCAGGCTACACAGTGGCCTGGGGCCACAGCCAGCAACAGGGTGACGCCCCTAACTCAAGATGCCGTGCCACACCGCAGAGCCTTCCCACAGGGGTCCTTGCTGCTGAGGGGTTCCGGCTTTGCCCCCCACCCTGAGGCGTGCCTATAGCTCTGAGGCCCCCATGAAGGAGACCCAAGCCTGCCTTCCTTCACCTTTAATGTCACCTTTTGCACAGCGCCCAGGACCAAGTGGGCTCAGTGGACACGCAGGGGTGGATTCCAGGTCACCGCTAGCTTAGTCGCCAATTGTCCACACAATCCCGGTGGCTTGGCTTTGGACACTGCTCACCCTATGTGTGCCAGTTACCACACGACTACCTCCTAGGCCTGTGAAGATCAGGGGAGACGGTGCCACACTGCCAGCAATATCCCGCCGTCAACAGCTCTCACAACCCCAGAAGGCCTCCTTCACTTACCCACCCGTACCTGAGGAACCCAAGGCTCAGTGGGGCGAGCCCCACACACCTGGACAACCACACTCCTGCTCCTTTCAGGGGTGCACCCAGCTTGAGAAGGGCTGGTGGAGTCCTAGGTCCTGGCACAGAGCCAACCAGGATGTCCCCGAGTGCAGGGCTGAGCACCCGGTCCGCGGAGCGGCCCAGCTTGCGGTCCTGCCTACGCCTGCGTGTCAGCGTCCCTACCTAGTCTCCAGCAATGAAGGAGGGCAGAGGGGCCTGAGCACACAGACTGAGAGGACTTCAGGGTCAGGAGAGGCCAGCTGGACAGGGTAGAGCTTGTAGGGCACCGTGCAGTAGGGTGGGTGTGGGAGGGAAGTGCTCGGAGCGAGGACTGCACGCGGGCGCTGCGGACGCCCTGAGTGTAGAGGAGTGCGCTGGGCTCTGACGGGCATCTGTTCCTGGGCTTCCTCCTGGGTGGAAGACAGCGATGAAGAGGGGCCCGCCAGGGTCACTGCCCCGTGCTGGGGCTCAGGCAAACGCCCAGCAGAATCACTGCCCCACTTATAACCACCTTCACCACCCCCAGCCAGGCCCTGCCCCTTCCTTACCGGATGTCCGAGCAGTCCCCTCTGCTCCCCCTCCGGCCAAGGACAAGTCCCTCCCCCTGCTGGAAGTCCCCCAGTCCCCACGTGCTTTAGGGGGAAAGTGTTCTTAATCGGTTTCCTTTTTGTCCCCTTAGCACAAAAGTACTATTTGGACATTGTGGAAAGATTTAAAAATGAAATATGGGGGCTGGGGGTTTAGCTCAGCAGCACAGCGCCTGCCTGGCAAGCACAAGGTCGTGAGTTTGGTTCCCGGTACCGGAAGAAGAAAAAAAAAATCAAATATGAAAAATAAAAAGCAAAGTTAACACATGCCCACAGTCCTTTCCTCCTTTGCGGATCAGTGATGTTCAGCATTTCTTGGCCATCCTGGAGGCGGCAAAGCCGTGGGGTTCTCCACAACCCTCCCGCACCGCTGGCAGACATGGCACATCGCTACCTCTATGCACGCAGACGGGTGAACCAGGCACAGACGGCGCGGGAAGGCCACCCCGGCTGCTCTACGGAAAGGGGCTGACTTTCCGTGACCAACAGCTCACAAGCATCTTCCAGAAGCAGACACAGCGCACCACGTTGGCCCGGGGTCTGATGGCTTCATCCAGCCGCTAACAAGCCCCAACTGCTGGGCACGCCGGGCACCTGAGTTTTCCCAAAGTCAGTCACGCTAGAACCCGCTGCAGGAGGGGCCCCGGGGGTGAGGCAGCACCTCCCCGCGCAGCTGGCCTCTCGGGCCTGTCCCCTGCCGGGGCCCGGCCTGCAGCTGCACTCAGGTGCGGCACCTCTCCTCAGCCCTCTGCGTGTCTGCTCAGTGCCCCCAGGGATCCAGCACTGGCCCTCAGCGAGTGCCCTCCCAGCCCGGCCCCTCCTTGCCTGTCCCAGGCTGGGTGCCCAGCCTGGCTCTTCCCACCACACCCTCCCGATCTTACCCTCTCCCATGTCTGATACCCCTCTGTGGGGAGGCCCCAGTTCATCCGGGCCATTCACAGATCCATCCCAGCACCCAGTCGGGCAGCCTCCTAGGCACAGATGAGGCCCTCCCCTCCCGGCGGGCAGCGATGGTGGGGGTGAGGGCAGAGCACGCCGTGATCCACCTCCCACACCGACTGCGTCGGCCCCCCAGGACTCCGGGAGAGCAGCCTGGCTGCAGAGCCAACCCTGGCTCCCCAGGCGGCTCCTCTCTTCCCCCAAAGCTCCTGGGGCTGCCACAGCACACAGGGAAGCGCTGGCCCCACACCTGGCAGGAGGAGCGCCAGGGGCAGCGCGGCCTACGGGCCACATGAGGCCTGAGCGGGGCCTGAGGAGGGACAGGGCTTCCCGTGGGGGTGAAGGGCTCTGGGCACAGGGCCAAGCTGCTCGGTGTCAGGAGAGTTTGAGGAACAGAGCGGAGGCCAGTGTGGGCGAGGACAGGGGGCCCTCGGCTGGAGCACTGAGGGAGCCCGGAGAGGGTCCTGGAGCCCCGCACCCGCCCCATACCACCCACGGTGGGGTCGTGGCTGCCCTGCCAGCTCCCCAGCCGGCCAGCCCACCTGGGGCCCAACGGATTCTCCCGACTCACTGCCCTCAGCCTCTCCCTCCCCGAGCCCCAGGCGCAGTGGGGACAGCCCAGGGTCAACAGGAACTGGCCCCTTCTCCGCACCAACCCCAGTCTCCCTCTCCACAGCTGGGGCCCCTCCCCGTCGCACACGGCCTCCACCAGCAGCCCTACTGCTGACAAAGAGCTGCTCCCCCCAAGTGCCCATCCGGGTCTGGCACCTGAGGGGCACCTTGAAGCCTCTGCCCCAGCTTCCCAGCTCCGCCCGACTCCCTTCAAACTGCGGTCCACACCGATGGTGCCTGCTGCAGGGCAGGCGCTGCTGGCCACCGAGTGTGGGCTGCCTGTGGCTGCCCTCCCACGACTGCCCTTGCGTTGAGGGTCAAGGCGGCGTGTAGAGCACTAGAGGTGTCCACCCGAAGGCACCCAGAGCCTGGGCCCCAAACCGCTGGGGGCCAGCCCCAGCCTGTGCAGCCTGGCTCTTGCCCGCCACCTCTCTCTCCGCACAGGGACCAGACTGTCCCAGTCTCTGCCCACTGCATCGGGCACCAAGCTAGTGGAGCTCCCGCACCGCTGGCAGACATGGCACATCGCTACCTCTATGCACGCAGACGGGTGAACCAGGCACAGACGGCGCGGGAAGGCCGCCCCAGCCGCTCTACAGAAAGGGGCTGACTTTGCCAGCAAGCGTGGGGCCAGGCCTTGGCTGCCCAGCGGAGGAGGTGAGGTTGGCCTGGGGGCGGGGCTGCGCCCGAGGTCCCGGGCCACCCCAGCCCTGGTCCCCAGCGGATCTCCCGGCAGGATTCTCCCGGCAGGATTCTCCCCTCCTCCCAGCTCCAGCCTTCCCTAAATGCCTTTCGTATGACTGGAACTTTGTGCTTCTCGGACTCAACTGCTCTTCTCACCCGGGCTCACGTCTTGGGCTGCCAGGCTTCACTGTTTTCCAGTCCTGGGGGCTTTCCTCCTGGAAGCGGCCTCCTCCTCACCTCCCGTGAGGAGCGGGTCGCACGCATGTGCACGCACGCACACGCATGCACACTCCCACAGGCTTCGAGGCTTGCTCGCCCCCCCTCCTCCCCTCACATCCTACAAGCCTCCCTGGGACCTACCGAGCCCCCAGGGTGACATCAGGCAGAGTCCTTCAGAGCTGCAGGGGCTGAGGGTGCTTCTCACCTGCCTTCATACCTGCCTCTCTGCCCACCAAGGCGAACTGGGGAACTCAGGCCGCTTCCATGGTCACGTGGCGGAGTGGCGGAAGGCTGCCCTCTGCCTGCCCAGGGCTCTCTCCCCATCCTCCCCACCTGTCTGAGCCCTACCACTCTCCTCTGCTGCTGCTGGTGAGACTCCTGGAGAGAAGCCCGGCTTGAATCCCACGGCCGGCGTGGCCCACCCCGGTCTGGTCACACGCCGGCAGTCTGGCTTGAAGCTCCACTCAGGTCGCAGCCGCACACACCTCTCGTGTCTTCCTCCTTTCCACGCTGCCCTCAGCCAGGGCCTCTCCCAAGGGTCGCCCCTTCTCAGCACAGGCCACACTGCGGCGGGGTCTGGGACAGCTCCGTCCCCACACCAACCTCGCCCCACCTCCTGTGCAGCCTGCCCCCTGCTACACCAGAGTCCCGCGGCCACCCTGCCCCCTGGAAGGCAGACCGGTAAAACCGATGTTACTTCCCGGCCCAAGGGCCACAGGCTACACACGCCAGGCACTGGGTTCTTGGGTGCTCCGGTGGCTCTCACCCCTCCCTCCGGCACCCCAGCACCCCGGGCCTCCAACGCCCCATGCTCAGCCGCGGGTACAGCCCCCAACAGCCAGTCTCCAGCCTGCCTCCCCGCAGCACCAAACAGCCTCAACTCCAACTTCTGCCAGCCAGGCTGTGCCACACAGCCCGGATTCCCTAAGATCTCCCCCGACTGGCGGCCGAGAAGCTGCACCCCCGCACCCTCTACCTGACGGCGGGGCCCATCTTCAGAACACTGTGCTCAGGCTGCGCACCTACCACACCTCCTTCAGGGCCCGCACCAGCTCCTCCTCCTCCCAGGAAAACCAACCTGAGAGCCCTCAAGCCCCACACTGTGGCCTAGGGGGAGGGGGCCCAATGGGGACACAGAGATGCAGAGATGAAATGATGAACATGACAGGTGCAAACAGAGGCTTTAATCAGAACAGCAACGAAGGCGCAGGGTGGGGCCCACGGGAACAGGGAGCCAGGAGGCGATGGTCTGGCCGGGGAGGAGGCTGCACCTGCCTCTCCGCATCTGCATCTGGGGCTCTCGATCCTGTCTCACTCTCCGCCCAGACCACAGCTGGTCCGGGCTTGAGCCCCCGGCTTGTGCTTCTCAGCGTGCCCTCCCCACAGGCTCCACAGACCCACACCCAGGAAGTGGGTGGAGAAGGGCAGCGGGCAGGGCAGGAGGAAACGGGCAGACGCCCACCAGCACCCCACGCTGCCCCTCGGTCCAGCCCGGCACTCAGAGCCATCCCTCACCCCATCCCGTCATACAGGCGCGAGGACAAGGAGCACCTGGCCAGGCCGGCACCCACCTGCCCAGGGGAGCAGAGCAGGCTGAGCACCCCAGGAAAGTCACAGCAGTGAAGCAGTGGCTGCAGCCGCCAGGCCTGGAGGCCTGCAGGTATCAGCCCCAAGCCCCTCCCTGAGTCTCTGACGCCCCTCCCTGCCGAGAAAGCTCTGGGAGCTTCACACAACCCACTGAGCCCTCCCAGGAGCCCAGCACCTACCCAAAGGGCAGCTACCACAGCTGGTGACCCCTTGGCCAAGCCAAGGGCCCAGGCCCACAAAAGCCGAGCCCAGGGGCAGCCTCTAGAAGGAGCCTGGGAGGGTGGAACAAGCCTCTTCACCACCCAGCCCATGGCCAGGACCAGCCTCCGTCTCCAGCCCACAGCGGACACCCAGACACCCACCCGAACTCGCCCTGCAGCCAGCCGCCCTGCAAGGAACAGAACTCCAACTCTCTAAGGCATGGGCGGCAAAGCGGGGAGAAAGCAATGGGAACAGCAAGATGCCACTCCCCACAGCCGCCGGTCTCCGGTGCGACTGCAGGAGAGAAGGGAGGAGAGGGAGGCTGGGAACAGGAGTGGGGTCTCCGCCCCTCTCTTTCTGCCTGGCCAACAGAGGTCAGGACACTGGCCATACTTTGGTCCTTCAGCCCTAAGCGCTGTCCCCTCCTCAAACGCCGCTCAGCACCCCAGCCCAGTACACAGCCTCTCATCAAACAGAAAGAACGAGGACGGGGGCGGGGCGGGCTGGGGTGGCGAGGGCGCAGGAGCCCAGCCTGGGTGGCTGTGCAACCCGGGCCTCCTAGCTGGAGGTGACGGGGTGGATGGGCAGCAGGCTCCCGAACTTGAAGTGCTGGATCACAGGGAACTTCTCCAGGCACTGTGAAGAAAGGCAGAGCGGAGCGTGAGGGGCCAGGGCTGTCCGAGAGGGGGACACCTGTTTCTCCTGCTCCCTACCCAACAGCCCCACCGCAGCAGTCAGACCATAAACCATGCGGGAAGGCGGGTAGGAATCCAACCTACAAAGTGGAAGCCAAGCCCAGATGACAGGCAGCCAAGTGACATCACTTGGCCCAGGGGGAAATGGACACAAGAGGCAAGAAGGGCCTTCCCAACACGGCACCCTCCGCCTAGCCCCAGTTCCGGCCTGGTGGCGAGGGGACGTTTGAGCCCAGCCTGAGCAGAGGCCAGGGCTCCTTTGCTCCAGTTTTCAGGGATCGGGACTGCAAAAGTGGCCCTGGCACTGCGGAGTGAGACAAAAGGAGCCACCTGACAGCCCCCCAGGCCGTTCCCAGCAGTGCTGCGGGGTGGGGGTGGGGGCGCAAGGACACAGCACACACTGGCGGCTGAGCCCTGCGCCCTGCGCCCTGCAGATGGACAGGCCTACCTGGGAACTCCGGCCAAGGCCACAGTGCCGCGCCGCCCATCTCCCGCCCCAGGCCACAATCGGGCAGTAGGAGGTTGGATCCTAGGCCAGCCTGGGCTCCTCACCCACCTCCAGCCAGGGCAACAACCTCCCAGCAGGGGTGCAACACTGGGGTGCAACACGCAGCCGGCCTCACTCTAACCTATGAGGGACAAAGGGGTGCCACAAGCGGCCCACTCCACTTCGGAAACCAGCTGCAGAACCAAGCGGGGAGGGGTATGTGAGTGTGCACGGGGTCTGGGTGGTCAGCAAGGCCAGAGGTGCGGGAAAGTGGGGTGCAGGCTGCTGGGGAGGGGCTGTGGGTTGGAGCAGCAGATCCAGGCCGGAGGCAAGGCAGCTGCCATTGTGCTGATATCATCCGGAAGTGGTAGGAGTTTGCTAAAAGCCCCCAGGGCCCTGAATTCCAGAAGGGGTCAAAAGTCAACCTGCCTCCAGCTCTCACCAGAGAAGCCGCAAAGGCTAGAGGGGCAGGGGTGGAGGCTTCTCCACTCCGCTCTCAGAACCCTAGGGCCACAGGCGACCAGGCTGGGCTGTGGCAGAGGGGCTGAAGGAGAGGAAGTCCTGCTCCAAGGAGGAAAAGCCTGCAGCACCACGGCCTCTCTCAGCGCTGTGGCACCTGGCAGAGCTAGGTCCGTTCAGCCTGCTCCTCACAGCCCCCCAGGACCAGGGCTCTGCACAGCAGGCCTGCAGGACAGACAGACCCTGTCACACAGGACCCGTGAGGGCACCTGGTTCTTCACCTCAGAAGACCACGTTCGAGCCGGTGTGGTGGCCCATTCTGTAATCCCAACCCTCTAGGAGGCTGAGGCAGGAGGACGGTAAGTTTGAGCCCAACCTGGGCAACTCAGTAAGACCTTTTCTCAAAACAAAACAATTAAAAGAGCCAGGGCTGCAGCTCATGTCGAAGGCTCTGGGTTCAATCCCCAGTACTGCAGGAAAAAAGTAAGTAAATAAAAATAAAGGTTGAGCCAGGCGTGGTGGAGCACGCCTGTAATCCCAGCACTTGGGAGGCTGGGACAGGAGGATCCTTGCAAGTTCGAGACCAGCCTGGGCTACAAAGTGAGCTCAAGGCCAGCCTGTACTGCACAGTGAAACCAAAAAAAACAAAAAATAAATAAATAAAGCTTGGGTCAGCATATTGAAAACACAAGGTAGTCCCAAATTCTGAGGCCACCTAATGCCACTCCTGCCAACTTAGGTCCTGCTGATCTCTGGACATCAAGGCTGGGGCCACAAAGGTCCCCCTGCGGACTGAGAACTAGCCAGAGAAGAACATCCTTCCTGGGGCCTCTGGGGACGGCGCACACAGCCCCACAGGCTCCTGGGCACCAGAGACTAAGGGCTACTTGCTAGGATGCCACTGGTGAGTGCTGAGCACCACGAAGACTCGAGGTCTGTAACCAAGTGAGCACCCTACAAAGCAGTCTAGCTCACACAGCAACAGGGCACACAAGCTCCCACCACCCCTGCGTGCACAGCTATCTTTTCGGGAAGGACACCTCTGGAATTCACGCAGTTCCCAGCCAGTCCCTCGTGGTCAGTAACTGTAAAGGTACCAGCCACCTTTACGTCACAGACTGTCCAGTTCTGTGTGCTGCGCCATCATTTTGAATTTTTTTGCAGCACTGGGGACAAAACTCAGGGCCGCACACGGGCGAAGCAAGCCTTCTCCCACTGAGCTACCTTCCCAGCCCTTTTATTTTTTTGAGACAGGGTCTTGCTAAATTGTCCAGAATGGCCTCAAGCTTGCCATCCTCCTTCCTCAGCCTCTTCACCTTGAATCTTAATTTCCCCCTCCCTCAGCCTGCCGGTCTGTAGCTCTCCTGCCTCTGGAAGCGTCAAGGAGCCGTGGACTCCTCCCTTGCGGAGGCAGCCTCGGCAGGGGGAGTGCCCCACAGGGTGGCAGTGCCCCAGCAGCACCCGTGTGGGACTGGCAGGGGAGGCCTGTCAGCAAGGACAGGACAGAGGGCAGTGACCTGGGTTCTCAGGACAGGGAGAGCTGGGCGGGGCAGCTGCCGGAAGGAGCCTGGGCAGCCCCAGCAAGGGAGGCTCAGATTAGAGAGGTATGTGGGCTGGAACCTAAACACAGGATGTGAAGTCCAGAAGAAGGGGACCAAGGGGGAGGGGCGGAGGAAGAGAGCCAGGCCTCAGCGCTGCAGTTCCAGCACAGTTAACCCCTTCAGGGCAGCACAGGAGCCAGATCCCTGGAAGCCTCTCACTCCCTTCCTGCTGTCCTCCCTCTGGTGACCGAGGAAGGAAGCAGACCTAAAGCAGCCCTCCCAGAGAAGGAAGGAAGGCCACAAGTCAGGAGGCTGCACAGGCTGAGACCCCTCGGGGAGTTAAGGCCGGAACAGCCTGAGGACTGAAACAAACGGAAGGAGGCACTCCGGGGACTCCCAGCCCCGCTCCAGGTGAGTGAGCACTGCACACCCAGGTCTTTTTTGGCCAAAGACAATCCCAAGATGTGAGCAGGGAGATACTTGCTCCCTCCCTTTTTGCAAGAGGGCAGAAGGCATCAGGCAGGCAAGGGGAAGCCGCCTCCCAGCAGGGGGAGCTCAGGGACCAAGGCTGGCCCAGTCTCTAAGGCCACCGGAAGTGATCAGGACAGTGCCAGCTGCGGCCTCCGCCAGCCTCCACCTGTCTACAGTCACACACTGCAGCTTGACAGCACCATTAGCACAATGCCTCCAGGCCACCCCACTCCGAGAACGCTTGCTTCCTGTCACCGTGGGGGACTCAGGCTGCTGGGCGTGGAAGGGCCTTGGTCATTGTGTCACCCGAACTCAGCTGGACCAGGTGGGAAGAGAGCCCGCTGCCAGCAGCAGGGTGCTGCTCAGCCTCTGCACTGACACAGGCCAGACTGAGCCTCCACCCAGCACACTGCTACCACCCCCAAGCACCAGAGGGCGTGGCTGGAAGGCCACAGCACAGCAGTGTACCACACCTGCCAAGCACGCAGGCAGCCACACTCACCTCGGCCTTATACATGCGGATGAGACCTTGGTTCACCTTGGACCAGGAGGGGACCGCACTGATGTTCCACAGCTGGTTGGAGTGCTCTGCGAATGGCCCGGTCTTCATCTGGACAAGAGAGGCCACATCTGGGGAGGGGCCCTGCTTCCCGGCAACAGGCGCTGTCTGTCTGCCTCCCTCCCTCTCACTCATGCGTGCACACACACGCACGCATGTACACACACAGGGCCAAGCCACGGAATATGCGCCATGTGGTATACACATACAAGCACACACAAGTGCCAGGGATGGGTGTGTTTGAGCTTCAAGTTTGCTGAGCAAATATAACCTCCCTGTCCACCCCCAGGATTCCCTTTCTCTCACATCCAAAAGTGGGGTCCAGTTCCTACTACCACCAAATCTAGCAGCCTTGGGAAAATGAAATCTCTCCCTAAGCCAGGTATGGTGGTGCACACCTGTACTCCCAGTACTTGAGAGGCTGACGGAGGATTGCCGTAAGTTCTAGGTCAGCCTGGACTATGTGAGTGAGTTCAAAGCTGGTCTAAACTACGTAACGAGACACCCGTCTCAAAAAAGAAAAGAGCACTCTTCCCAGGAGCGGGGTGGCTCCTCCAGCTCCCCCGGTGGCAGAACATCTTTCTTGCCCAGCTCCACAGCAGGCCCGGTCTGCAACAGCCAGGCAAAGCTAGCAGGGCAAAGGCAGAGGCTGGGAGGGGCACGGTGGGGCCGCCCTGTGCCCTGTGTATGGCGGGAGGTGGGAGGGAACACAGGGGCCAACGTGAGGCAGGGCACTTGCAGGAAAAGGTCTGTTTATCTAGAAGGCCAGCCCGCCCCAGCCTGAGAGGCCAGGGGTGACAACCACAGCAGGCGCAGGACAGTCTGTCCAGGTCCCTCCTCTTGCCCAAGGGCCCAAGCCTCCAGGAAGGAAGGGCACGCTGTGCAGCAGGCCCAGCACAGCGCCCATGACATCAGAAACCACAGTGCCTGGAGGGCGATGTGCCGAGCCATCAGCCATCAGCCGCGCAGTTCGCAGCGCCCTCGCCGCTCCCCTGGCCCGCAGCAGCCTTCTGCGGGGAGCAGCCTCAGCACCTGGGCCTCAGGCTGCACAGACAGATGGAAAAGCAAAGAGGCCGAGTCTGGCAAGGAAGGAGACTTGGACTGGAGTGGGTGGAAGGCTCCAGAAGCTGTGCGTGGAGGCCCAGGAGGAGGGGAGGCTGTTCAGGGAGGAAAAGCCTAAGCTCTCACGGTGGGGCACGCGCACGAGAACACGCTGCGGCTGTGACAGCCGCCTGGCTCCCCACTACGCTGGGCCTTGGACGGTCCAGTAAGGGCAACGCTGACTAAATCTTTCAGATGTGCGTCAAAAACCTGTCCCTGTCATTCCTTTTCCTCGCCTAAGTCCCTAGAGAGCCTGTCACAGCCCCCAGGATTAGTAGTAAGGATGACAGACTTCAGGACGGCAGGACCAGGGCGCCCCTTCCCCCATCCCCGGAAGGCTTTTCTTGGGCAGCTCCCCACACCCTCGCCCCAGCCTCTCCCTCCCCCACCAGCCCGCCCCTTCCAGGCGCCCCACCCTGCTGCCCCTGCCCACTCCCATGAGGCTCAGGGACCGCCGCACTTTGGGGACACTCCACTCTCCAGGCCTAACCCCAGGGGCACCCTGCAGGCTCCAGCCCTCGCAAAGGAAGCACAGGGACGCACAGGGATGGGGCTCTGCCTTCTGCAGCAGCCCTGCCTACAGGGTCTGGGATGCGCCCCCAGAACCCCCCCTGGCCTGCTGGCTGAACCAGGGCAAGGAACCTGCAGAGCCCCTGCAAGACAGAGCCCTGCAGGCTGCAGCACCCGAGGCCTCCTTAAGTCCTTCGGAAGGAGACTGCAAATTGAGAAAGGAAAACAGGCAAAGGCAAAAAGGAATCGAGGTGAGGAGACCAAAAAAAAACCCCCAAAAACAAAAAACCAAAAGACAGCTTATTCTAGCCACAAAGGGAGAAGCGCGAGAGCGAGCACGCAGGCAGGCTGCAGTCCCGCAGTGACCCCAGGGGAATCGTGAGTCAGAGCAGCCATATTGAGCAGGAAATTACTCACAGACGCTGCGTTCCTGCCTCTCCACTCCCCAGAGAATCGGCCTTTTGTAAATGGTTCCTCTGTCAGTAAGGAGGGGGATGGGCGGGGTGGGGGAGGCTCTGCACAGCGCCTTCCTGTCAGCTCCTTCCCTTCCAGCTGAAATTTGATCCCTCCCTTCCCAAAACTCCAAATTTAGAAGCCAGACTGAAACTGAAATTCTTTTCCTGCCTGCCCTGGGCTCTTAAAGGCGCCAGGGCTGCATTTCCTGCAGCAGCAGAAGCCTTGCAGGGTGGGGGGGCCTCAACCAGGATGGCCAGGGATACAAGGGGTCCAGCAGGAGACTGGGTAGCGGGGCTGGGTTCCACCCCAACTTCCTGTGTTTTCTTTCACCTCCTAGTTGCATGAGCCTCAGGATTTCTGGGTCTCCAGAGGCAACCTTGCAACCTTCCCAAGCAAGAGCACAGAAGCCCCCGAGGGCCTCCGGGCTCCTGAGCCCCAGGGTCTGGTACCAAAGGCCAGGCCACCGGCTGACAGGGTGCCAATGCTGTCCACCTGGGAAAGGACACAATGGGTGCTGCAACCAGCAACTACCCTAGTCCAGCCTCACTGGCCAGTGGGGAGAAGGGGGCCCTCGGACAGCAGCTCCTGAGGCAGCCCCTGCTGGCATCCACGCCAACACCCTGTCCAAGACCCCAGGCCTAAAGTGAAAAGCCAGGCTTTGCAGAGAAGATGCAGATCAGCCAAAAACTGCGCCAGCCCGCCTCCGCTCTCTCCAAGGCTCGCAGTTAAATGGTACTGATCCGGAGTTCCGTGTGCCTTTGCTGCCACCTAGTGGCCCCTAGGCCTGACTTCCTGCAGAGGACCTGGGTCTCAAATTTGAGCTTTTGGGTTTTCATACCAACCTAACCAACCAACCAAAAACACAGCTTCAGCATGAAACCTATTCTCATAGATCCTGGAGTGTGGCCTGGCTTGTCTGCTTGTTAAAATCACTGACTGGGACCCCAGGGCCTGAGCAGCCGCCAGGGGGAGCCCAAAGAGCTCATCACTGGGCCTCAAGTAGCGTCCCTGCTCCCCAGCCCACTCCTCCTCCTCCTCATCCTGGGGGCTCCCCAGGCTCCGCAGATCCCCATTCCAACATGGACAGCAGCGCGTGACTGGCTCTCAAGGCAGCAGCCAGGCTGCCCTGGAGTCCTCACGACCTTGAGCCTGTGACTCTGCTGAAGGCAGCAGATCTTGAGAAGGAAGCGGTGGCCGCCCAGCCGTCAGTCCCGGCTCCATCTGCTGACTTGGAAAAAAACATGTCATTCCCCTCTGGCCTCTGGAGTTTGGCAGAAGCCTGAGCCGAATGCTGACCAGGAGGAGCAGGGAGCTGAGGCTGCTAAGCAGGCTTGGGGCGGGGGCACTGAGAAGACAGCCAGGAGAGCAGCCCCACAGAGGCGGCTGGGAGGCGGGAATGCAGACCACACAGCCAGGGCGCCCTTTGCAAATATGCGGTGGCGGACATGGGACAGAACTGAAAGTCCTGACGCCCCCAGGAAGCAAGGGATGCCCCCTGGGAGCCTGGGATCCTCCAGTGCCTGGCAGATGAATCTAAATACAGGCCTTGGCTGTTGTCCTCAAACATTCTGACTCCGAAAGCTGGAGTTACCAAGTCCCAGGTAATCCTGACGAGTGTCCAAGTGTTAGACCCTCAGTGGAGTCCATGCAGACAAGGACATCCTGGCTGGCCAAAAGCTGGTGCACCCTTCCAGGGAGTCCAGTGGGGGGACTTGCTTTTTTGGGGGGGCTTCCTCTCAATAGCCACCTGTGGGGCCAGCCCTGCCACCTCCAGGCAGCGCCTCCGGCTGCGCTAAGCCACCAGCCTCAGTTCACTGAGTGCAGTGGTCACGGGGCCCTCCTGCCTCACCTCCGTGATGAACAAGACGCACTCCAGGAACATGTAGTCCTTGTGGTTCTCGTTCACGGCCTTCTCGTCCACAAAGTGCCTGGGCTCCAGGTATGGGTGGTCTGGGAAGAGCAGAGAGCCCTGGGGCTCAGAACCCGGCCCGCATACCGCCTGGGCACCCAGCCGAGCACACTGGACACCGCCCAGGGGCCACAGCCTCACCGGGGGTCTCAACACTCTACCTCGGAGGACCAGCACAGGACCTCGCCCTGGGCGCAGTCACGAGCATGTGGTCACTGGTCCGTCACTCGGGACCATGCACGCGGTGGTGACCCCACAAGACTACAATGGAGGGCTGTGGGGGGAGCTCAGTGGGCACGGGGCTGTGTTCACTGCCCAGCACTGACAGAAAGATGCTCATGGAGCTGAAGAACTCCTCACCTAGTGACCAGGCCACCACAACGCCACAGCAGGGCTGGCTCCCCATCGCTATGCGGTGAGGCTGGTGTAAACAAAGCCACCACCCTGCCAGTTACAGAAAACCACGGACACAATCGAGTATCGAGCGTAACACTCGATAATGGTAAGAAACCACCACGACGCTAGCTCCTGTTTACTATGCTATCTTTTCCGCGGTTTGGAGAAGACGCTTCCTTAAGAAAACTACTGCCAACTATGCGTGGTGCCCAAACAGCCCAGGACCCTCCCGTGCGCAGGCTCTGCTGTCAGGGGCCAGGCCGAGGGAGTGCGCTCCGGTGACAAGGGAGGTCACCTCCAAGACTCAGCTTCCGCACCAGGAACATCCCGGAGCACAAGACAACGCCAGGGACAGTACGGAGCACGCTGCCTTAAGGGCTGCCAGAGACACTTCCCAGGGAGGCGAGCGGCCTCGGCAGCCGGGTAATCTACCTGGGCGGCAAAAGCAGGCCTGACATGCAGCAAGTTATTTGGTGGGCGGTCCCTCCCACACCGAGAGGACACCTGCTTGCCCCCAGGGGTCCCAAGCAGCTGAGCGCCCAAAGGAGGGCCGGGGCAGAGGTGTGTGTGCTGGCACACTCGGTGCCTGCCGAGCAGGTACAGCCCCACAGGAAGCAGGCCAGGCCTCAGCACTCGGCAGCAGCTCCCTGACGGCCCCTTGCACACGGCTCCACAGTAACAGTGGACAACAGCGGTCCCCAAAGCAAAGAGCCCCCCACTTTCCACAGAAAACCCCGCAGCTGCTGCGAGGAGTGCGGCTCTGCACACCAGGCCGCTGTGCACCAGGCACGCACCCTTACTCCAGCCGCGGCCCTGCCCACCCTCTCGAGGCACTCAGCCTCTCTCTGCCGCCCCAGCGCCCCCAGGAGGCCTTGAGGGCTCACAGCACGAGGACGGCAAGCAGCCTCCATCAGTAGTCACACTGAGGCCCGCTTTATAGGCTGTCCCTGGCTGTCCTGGGCAGGAAGGGAAGCGGGAGAGGTGAGGTGAGGGTCTGCAGCCCCCCAGCTAGTACCTATCAGCTGCGAACTGCCCCAGATGAAGGGTAGGAACTGGAAGTCATCGAGGCCCCACACGCCCTGGCTGCCAGCTGGCTCCATCCGGTAGGTCTTCTGGAGTTTCCGCATGACCTCCAGGTACCTGCGCAGGAGAGCGAGAAAGGTTAAGGGCCAAAGTCAGAGGGCAGCTCCCGCTCTGCTGGGGGCGGAGGTCAGAAAGCACAGCCTCCCTGGTGACGCGCCCGCTGCGGCAGGAGAGCCCAGCGGGTGCACAGCAAACCACGAGGCACACATATTCAGCCTTCTGGCCGGGCAGAGAGAACGCTGACTTGGAAAGTGGGCTCTCACGCTGCGGTGGTGGACAGTTCGCGGGGCTCAGCAGGAGCCCTACTTCCCTAAACTCGGGTGCTGTCAGAAGGGGTGGGAGTCCGAGGACAGCGGCTCCAGGCCTGTCCATCTCCGTCCTCTACGTGACCAGAGGCCCGGTGTACCACCTGCAGGCTGTCACACATAGCGAGCCTGGACCCCAGCACGGCCGGCCTGTGGGAGAGCAGTGGCTCCGCACACCCAGGGCCACCTGCTGGCCTGGGCTAACTGGGCAGGCGTGAGCTCTCTGGGCCTTGGTTTCCCTGCTGCGTCCCAGGGCTGGGGTGAGGATGAAGCATGCGGAAGGAGGCTCCTGGGACGAAGGCCACAGGCGCGCTTCCTGCCTGGCCTTCCTGGCAGGAGAATGTGAAGCTGGTGCGAGGAGCTGCCCGGGACCCATCCACAGCCAGGCTTGGTCAGGATGAGAGCTGGGAAGCCCGTGGGAGACCCTCGTGTCCATCCGACCGGAAGGAGGAGGAAGACAAGAGACCCTCGGCCCTGGCCCCCTGGCCGCCCCCCCTCCCTCCTCACCGGTTGAACACCTTGAAGACGATGGCTATCTGGTCGTCCACCCGCAGCACGCCGATCTTGCAGAGGCAGCAGAGGAAAGCGGCGAAGGCTGCCTCATGGCCTGAGGAGAGAGGCTGAAGTTGACAGTTGGAAAAAGGCTGGGGCTGTTCTCCGTCGCCCTGGCAGCAGAAGGCCACGTGGAGAGGATGGGGCCCCTCCCTCCACAGAGACCTCGGTCCTGTCAAGAGCTGCCAGTGCTGTAATTCTGCTAAGAGGCCTGGACTGCTGACACCAAACAGGCTGAAGCCACCCGGCCACCCCACCTGGTTTATGGAGCACCCACGAGGTTGGCAGGCACTGTCCGTCATCACCAGGTGGACAGTGATGCATGAGTCCTGCGCTCGGGAGCAGGCCACTGGGCACAGCGGCCAGACAGTCACTGCCCAATCGGTGCTCTGACTCGGGCTCCGCAGGAAAAGCCAGGGTCCCTGGGGCCACTGAAGAAGGGAAGGGACAGAGCAGCGGCCCCAACCCAGACAGCACCTGCTTTTCAGGGGTGCAGGCAGCCCCTCTCCTCCAAGTCCAGTCAGCCTGACCAGCATGGACGACAGATCCAAAGAGCTCAGCAGCAAAGGACAGGCTGGAGACCGGGCCTCGGGGAGCGGGGAACCCACCAAAGCAGCGCTCTCACTTCTCAAAACTGGCAGAAGCAGCTGTCTCAAGGTACAGCAGGTGCTCACTTGAGCGAAGATGCAGTGCTCGCAGAGACCACTTTCACCAGAACAGCAGTGAGCCCGGCGCGGGCACGTGTGGCATCGGCGCCCCCCCAATCCCCCATGGACCCAGCGAGAGTCGCAGCATCAGCCGCTCACACCCACTACTGCACCCTCCCCGACGTGGACCCGGCTGGCCCCAAGGGCTGCAGGGTGGCAACCTCGTACATGGTCAGAGCAAGATGCAAGCAGCCCCACAACTAAGGGGGGGGCCACAGAGCCCTCCAGCAGGCGCCGTACCTGTGCCGTAGTCGATGCGTGTGGAGTTGCCCACAGACTCCTTCAGGTAAACAGCCACTTCGGGCACAGCAGCTGCCAGGTGGGTGGGGACCACCGTGGCCACCAAGTTTTCTGCTTCCTGACAGCACGAGAGACACAAAGTAGTGGCAGAGTAGGCAGTGCCTGGGAGGGCAGGGGAGTACTGTGCTGACGGTCACAAGGGGGCACGCACTCTCACACAACAGGAGGGCCGTGGGGTGGCTCTGCGGCACCCCCAGGGAATCGGCTTGGGGAGTCAGGATTATTGTCCCCATAGTCACCACCTCCCTCCACACCCTCAGGCCAGCAAGACCCTGTTCCATAAATCCAGCAGGAGGGTTTCATGTACTGGAGGAGGGGCACCTAAGCACTAAACCTGTGCTAGTCAAGTGCTCTACCAACTGAGCCACAGCTCCACCTCTAGTCCTTTTTAATTTATTTTTTTACTTTGAGACAGGGTCTTACTAAGTTGTCCAGCCTGGCCTTGACTTGTAATCCTGCCGCCTCAGCCTCTCGGGTCATTAGGATCATAGGCGTGTGCCACTGTGTCGAGCCAAGTGGCATTCTTTACAGCAGCCAAAATAAAGCGCTCAGCAGTGATGAAATAAGTGAGCTGTGCCATGTTCCAAACATGGAACTACAAGGAGAGACAAGGAGCTGTCGCTGCACACAACATGACGAAGCTCACAGCGGGAGTATTAGGCAAAAGAGGCCGGCACGGATAGGAAGCTCAAAAACAGCTGGGAGAATCAATACATGGGCTAGAAATCAGGGGGACACCAAGTGGGAGGGCTCTGCTAGAGCTGGAACAGTGTAGCTTAATGTGGGCGATGGCAAAAACATGTAAAGATCCATCAAGCTGTAGAGCTAGGACTCAGCAGCTCTCTCCTAAGTCAGACCTTAATACAAGTCTTACGCAAACACTCGAGCACATGCCCTGCAGCACCTGCCCCAGACTGCGCTCTCTGGGTCCCGCCCACTGCACCCTGCTCTCCCAGCTCTCCGAGCTCAGCAGTGGACCCTCGCACAGGAGTCTCCTCAACAGCTGGCGGCCACCTGGACCCCCAGGCCCACCTGGCAGACTGCGCTCCCGTTCTGGGCACGGGCTCAGAGGCTGGACTGTGTGCTCGGAACAGGAAACATCTTCAGTGATAAAAACTGCCAGGTGTGGTGGTGCACACCTGTGATCCCAGCACTTAGGAGGCAGAGGCAGGAGGACTGCTTTTCCAGGCCAGCCTGAACTACACACTGAGACACAGTGTTGGGGAAAAAAAAAACTAACACAACAAGAACTTGAGGAAAGGGTGCAGGGAGAAGTCCTGCTCTGCCCCAGTCTCCCCACCCACACAGCCCAGCTCTCTAAGTCTCCTGCGCACCCTTGTGACATAGGAGACAGGGCATGGCAAAGCTGCCTGGGGAAACGAGCTGGACCTGTCAATGCCAAGATCCCACAATAGCCCAGGTAGTTCTCGGGGCTCCCACATGTAGAACTTCTCAGGAGCTCCCATGAGATGTGGACAGCGTAAGAGACCAGGTTCCCAAAACTGCTACTGTGACTTCCCATGAGAGCTCCTGCTGTGCTTCTCAGACAAAGCATGCACTTTTATTTCTTTTTCTCTTGTTCTGCCCAAGTTAGCTCTGCAGGGCTCTTTTCTCCCATACCATCCACCCATCACTTTTCAAATAAACTTTTGGTACTGTTTTTGTCTGGTTTCATCCAATTCTTTGTTAAGAGGCAAAAAGGACCTGGGACCCTTTCAATTGGCCAGTATTTCTTTTTTTTTTTTTTTTTTTTTGGTCCGGGAATCAAACTCAGGACCTTGCAGTTGCCGGGCAGGCACTTATGCCGCTGTGCTATATCCCCGGCTGGCCAGTACTTCTAGTCAGCACTTGCACCACTGAGCTATACCCCGGCCCTTGGCCAGCATTTCTAAAGGAACTCGAAAAACACATTCCCGTGCCGCTGAGAACGCAGGTGCACACTTTCACCTCCCCTTCTCACCACCAGGGAGCGCACCATGCGCAGCACTGCAAGGGGTTCGGGAGCAGAGTCCCTACAGCTGTCTTGTTCTCTTTCACAGCTGCACAGTGCTCCACAGTGTAGCTGCGCAGGTGTCTTTCTGTGAGCCTTCCAGGTGGGCCCATCTGCTGCTAATACAGTGACTTAATGAGCAGCCTTGTGGTAGTTCAGTGGTAGAGCGCTTGTTTTTCCATGCCCAGCACTACCAAAACAAATAAACAAACAAAACAAAAAATAAAAAGGCCTTCTGCACTGGGTTGTGTAACTATGGCAGCAGTTCCCAGGAGGCAGCTGGGACAAGGGTGAGCGGGTGGGGATCTGGGCAAACGCACTGACCCTGTAACCACCTCTGTGATGCTGCGCCCTGCCCCAGCCCCACTGCAGAGGCCTCACCTCGTGGAGCCTGGCATACCAGGTCCTGAAGGCCTTGTTTCCAAAGCGCGAGGGCTGGTCCACTGGGGGGATCTCATCGATCCACCTGTCCAGGGTGTTCAGAAGAGCGACCAACTTCTCAATGGCCTGTGGGGTGAGAGAGACCCAAGTCAGTGACCAGGGCCCCCCCTGAGCTGCCAGGCAGTGACAGCAGGTATGTCAGCAGTGTGCTGCGCTCCTGTGGCCCCTCTGCCCACCGTCCTGGACGTGAAGGAGTTCAGCGGGGCAGGGAGAGTGCGCCAAGGGAGGAGCACCACGCCACAGGGTCCAATGGACAGCCGCAGCACCGCTCCTAGAGCCAGGCCACCCAGGAGGGGCCGCGGGAGAAGCACGACCCCAAGCCTGACCTTCATGAAGCAGGAGTCTCTTCAGGCCCTTAGCTGAATAAAGGAAGGAGAGAGGAAGCAAACAACCAAATAGCCCACCACCCGGAAATGAACAATCGGCTGAAACCGTGAGCCAAACTAACCCTGCCCTCCTTTAAGGCCCGGTGTCCTGCCTCAGCACGAGGAACGCAGACTGACGCTTGCGCCAAGAACCTGGAAGGCAGACAGGCGGCCGTGCATCTGAAGCCTCCACGACTCTTTTCTTGGTGCAGGGAATCGAACTCAGGACCTTGCACTCGCCAGGCAGGCAGTGTGCCGCTCAGCTATACCTCCGGCCCTGAAGCCTCTGGTTCTCTGTCGCCAGCGTGAGGACACTGCACCGTACTTTCTGAGGCACAGAGCCGCTCACAGCCCACTCCACGGCAGCACGCGCCTCGCTGTCTATCACCACGTCACAGACTCTCGTGAGCAGTCTCACGGGGCTGGTGCACGCGTGTGGGTGCAGAGAATGCCTCGCTGTCGCACGTCTGGGTGACTTCCCACCACACTGCCGCCATAGACAGCGCCACAGGAAAGGGGGGCAATCAACCTCGGAAAGTGCTGTGGAGGGTGGCACAGGTATGGGAGGCACCTGGCTAGAAAACGTGCTGGGGGGCGGCGGGGGGAGGCCATCCACTACAAAGCAGGTCTGCGAAGGAGGCTGGAGCACTCCTGCGGCTGGCTTAGCGAACAGTCCCGCGCAAAGGGCCGCAGGTCCCTGCCGGGAGCAGATCTTACCGAAGTCTGTGGGAAACAGCTGGTGAAGGAGGAACCCAGGCTGGGCGTGGTGTGCACACCTGCAAGCCCAGCGCTCTAGAAGGCTGAGAGAGGAGGACCGTGGGTCAGGCCCAACCTGGGCAACTTCGTGAGACCCTGTCTCAAAATTAAATTTTTTTTTTTTAAAAAGAAAGCGCTAAAGATGTAGCTCAGGGGTTGGGCACTCCTGGGGAAGCAGCGCGGTGACTCCCATAGGTAAAGTTGTGCTAAGACAGCAAGGCCTCACCTGTAGGCTCCCCATGGGGGTCAGAGTGCCCAGGGCACTGCGTCACCTGGGGTGGGCTGGGGCTAGTGGGACAGGTGCTGGCTGCTGGGCCTGGCTGCACAGCTCAGGTGACACACAGAGCTCCTGGCACCATGTGATGCGATGCTGACCTGCCGTTCTCTGGCTTCTCCTCACCCATTCAGGAGCACAGGAGGTATTTCCTGTGGGAAGGGCAACTTCCCTCCAACACCCGCCTGAGGGCAGAGCGCTGGGGCACAAAGCTGCCTTTTGGCAGTGTGACCTGATGGCGGGTGCTGCCACAGCCTGGCTTTTGAGGTGCTGGTCCCTGAGACCTGCTGAACAGTCCTGCCCTCCTGCAGCAACTGAGGCCACGGCTGTCGAGGAGGCAGCAGGTCCCTGGGAAACGCAGTCTCCAGGCACTGAGGGGATAAAGCAGGTGGCTGGAGGCCAGCAGGAGCCAGGTCCCAGCTGTTGCTCAGCTGGCTGGCCACTGAATAACCCTTCTGGAGAGGGCTTCCTCCCCGGGGCTGTCCCTTTGTCTGGCCTGCTGGGAGGAGGACTCCAGGCACAGACTGCACACTGGAACCTGCAGCGCACAAAGGAAAATCTGAGCTCTCAATCCCCTGAGCCCGAGCTTGTGCTTTCTTTCTGGATTTTATGGACTAGGAAAATCTTCCCTAAAACTAGCCAACTTCTTATTTTGTCCTCAGCGTAAAGAAATACAAAATAAAATTAAAAAGAACAAAAATAAGCCTTCCATCTACCATCACCCTTGCTTTCGACAAATCAATGTTAGCTCTCAAACGTAGGGCAGGGATAATCAAGGACAGCTTCCAGGCGCAGTGTGGACGACCAACCACATCCTCGCTTGTCCTCCACTCTGGCGGGCAGAAGCTGCAGCTGCTGGTGGTGCCGCAGGAGGCAGAGGACGACACGCGATGAGAGCTCTGCTTTTGGTCACCACCACATGCCCTGAGCCACACCTGCTGCTACCCCTGACGGCTGTAGGCAGAAACCAGGAGGCATCTGGAGACCAGAACCACCCCTCTGCCCCCGAGGGAGGAGCAGTCGCACATCAGCACCGAATGAGGACTTCCAGCCACAGCAGCAGCACCGCTGAGGGTCAGAACTGAGGGTCACTAGTACCAACTAAGAAGAGCACAGGCACCTGCGGTGTGTAGGCACGGGGCTAAGACCCTCCATGGAGGGACACACATGCACCTGCTCCCACTCTACAGATGAGGACACAGGGTCAGACGGGACAAGGTCACTAGGCTTGGAAGTGGCGCACCAGCGAACGCTGCCAGCCTGACTCTGGAACCCCAACACGTAAACGTGCTGCCATCCTGCCACAACAGCAGCTCTTTGGGGAAGACCACACCTGAGCAGGACAGACCTCCTGTCGTCTCAAGCACAACTGAGGGACCCAAAAGGAATCTGGCAGCCAACCATTTGCTGGGGTAATTACACCATTCCCCTTTAATTAGCTCTTCCGCAACAGCCCAGCCCGGAGAACAGCTCTGGGGACCCTTTGCCACATGCCCCAGGAGAAGACCTCTCCTCCGCTGCCAGCCTGTGCCCAGAGAAGCTGCCTGGCCCCAGCACAGACCCAGCTCCGCACGGTGGGCAGGACAGGCCCCAGGCCTCCAGCAGCCAGTGTGGGCTGGGAAGAGGTGGGTGCACTGGTGGCGCGACAGCGGGTGGCCGGGGCAGGGCTGGCCTCGGGACACATGGAGAAACTGGGCCAGGGCAAGCGGCCAGTGGGTGTAGCTAGAGGCTGGGTAGTCCAGGAACAGGGAGATGGTGCAGGCCCTGCTGTCTCAAGTAAGAGGCTCAAGGTGGCTCTGGGCCAACTAGGCTATGACCCTCAGAGGCCACTGGGACTAGTCCTGGGAGATGGCACCGTGACAACAAACAGCCTGCAGGACCAACAGCCCCAAGCTGCCCCAGGCCGCTGCCCTTCCAACACAAACAAACCTGGGTCAAAGAACCAGCAAGCGCACACACACAGTGTGAACCCACAGGTGGGAAAGCACATGCCGACTGGGCACTGCCGTTCTAGGTCGGAGGCCTCAGGAAAGAAGGCCCCCGAGGTGCGCACAGGACCCTTCCGAACGGCAGCCCTCCTCCACAGCCGAGGAAGGGCTCTCCATGTCCTGGGCCATGTGCTGGCACCGGGGCTGCCCGGGAGCTGGGCGTACGGGAAAACAGAGAGGTCGACTTTTGTGTTCATTGATGCGTATTTCACTAGCGATCTCTCCAGGAACACGGGCACTTTTGTTCTGTTTTTGTGGTACTGGGAATGGAACCCAGGGCCTGAGCACTGAGCGAGGTTCCCCAACCCTTTTTTTGAGACAGGGTCTCAATAAGTCACTAAGTTGCCCAAACTGGGGTCAAACTTTCAAGCCTCCTGCCTCAGCCTCCCAGAGTGCTGGGAGTACAGGTGTACACCACCACACCTGGGTGTCATCTTTTTTTAAATTTCAAAAGTTATATAACACACCAGTTAGGGCTGGGAGTGTAGCTCAGTAGTGGAGTGTTTGCAAGCTGGAGCCCCTGGCTCAATTCCCAGCACTGCAAAACAAAACACTAGTAAGCAGCAACGCAGTTTATTAAACTGCATGTTTGCCTTGATCCCCATTATATAAAACGGGAGAGCTGTGACAGCAAAACACAAACTACCCGTGTGCTTGGCTGGCCCGGCCTCTGCAGGGCCCGCACCCGCCGCACCCACCTCGGAGACTGTGTACTCCAAGCTCAGCTTCCTCCCCTTCACACCTTCATTGAGGGTGAGGATGAATCCGATGTAGTCTGCGTACGCCTATCAAAGAGAAGGGAGGGTCAGAGAGAGGTGAGACCCGCCTGGCCAAGCTGTGCTGGCTCCCAGCCCGGGGCAGCAGTCAACAGGTGAGGACAAACCCTCGACCCCCACCCTGCCAGCAGCCCAGCGACCACCGCAACCCCAGCTCCAGCCAGTCTACCAAGCCCTCACAACGGCTGCGGAGGCCTTGACGTGACATCCCATGAGGAAGGCGCTGTTGCTGTCCCCACTCTACAGCTAAGGAGACCAAGGTTCAGAGGGAGAAAAGATTTGCCCAAGACCTCCTCGGACATGGAGCATGGAGCCTGCCGGCCTCACCCCAAAGCTGAGGCCTGGGTGTTCCTCCCCACAAGACACCACCAGGCGGTCAAGGCCACCACCAGGAGTCCCAGAAACACAGCTAGGGCCCCTGGCTGCTGTGCAGATGCCTGAGAAGGAGTTGCCTCCTGCCTACAGCAGGCCCACCTGTACCCAACCCTTCCTCCACACTGGGGTGCAGGGTACCGGCACGGGGAGCAGAAAGCACTGAGGCGCAGGCCCCGGGGACGCAGGTGTGAAGGGCAAGGCCTCTGCCTCCTCCTCCTCCCCAACCCCAGGACAGCCCTGAGCAGCAGCACGCTTTCTAGAAGAGTGGTCCTCCACCAGGACCCTCCAGCAGAGTGCGTGGTCATCTCCAGCGTCTCCCCAGCCCAGGGAAAGCGTCCCTCAGAGCACACTGGGGTGCACGAGCTAGTGCCAGGCTTAGGCTCAGGGAGGTTCAGGGCAACCTGGCTCCCACAGGGTACCTGACTATGCCTCAAGATATTTTGGCAGCGACAACTGGGGAAAGGAGCACTGCTCTTGTCTGCTGGGTGGTGCCAGGGGAGATGTCCCCAGGCGCAGGCCAGCCCTCTGCAAGAAGAGGTGCTGGGCTTGAGAAACTCAGAGGCAGAGCAACCGTGATGACGAAAGGACCCGAGCCAGGCCCCTAGAGCAGCTGAGGGGACTGAGGCCTTTATCCCGTGAGGAGCTGGAACAGACACAACAACCGTCTTGGGAAAGCGGGAGGCTCACGCTACCCCAAACCTGCGTGAGGGCCAAACGTGGAGGCTGGGGCCAGGGCTCTGCGCGAGCGCAGCAGACGCCCATGGACAGCTTGCCAAGCATGCGGGGCCCATGCCTGCCGCCCGTCTGTCCATCTGTCTGACACCCTCCACCCAGCTGACCAGACCAGGCCTAGGTGCCCGACTAGAGCTGGGCCCAAAGCCTTCTCTGAGCATTCGAAATGCCCCTTCTCAGCCTCCACCACTCCACAGCGTGGACCACAGGCCTAGGAGCCACAGCTAGATCTTTCGCCGACCGTTTGGGCCGAGCAGCAGAGAAAGCCAGTGCCGCCCTATGCGCTCGGCCCAGCTGCCAGCTACTTAGTCACGGCCCCGGCCGACGCGCCAGGAGACAGCCTCTCCTCCCGCTGGTACACTGGCTGCCACCTCCACACTCGCCGCAGCCAAGGAGCAGTGCCCACTCGTCTCTCAGGACACTTGTGTTCAGCCAGAACCAGGTTCAAAGGGCAGGGAACGAGAGCGAGACGGGCTTTCCAGAGTGCCAGAGCCCAGCCTGGGGCCCTGCTGCCCCAGTGTCTCTGAGGGCCGCCCCAAGAGGGGACAGCCAAGTCCCCTGCCTCCTCCTCCCTGACTTCTGATAACTCAGGGGCCAAGAGCGAGCCAGCCCAGAGGCGCGCCGCCTGGTCATGCCGACAAAAGCACAGCTGAAAAGCCCAGGTCCTCGGCCGGGTTCTGATGTCACGGTGCAGATGCCAGTACCTGAGAGCGCTTCCATTTGCCCATGTCCGGAACCGTGTGGATCTCTTTCTTTGGAATGATGAAGTTCTGTGTGGCTGGAGGAGTCTCCTCTGAAGACTCTTGAAAAAGAAAATGAGAAGGCAGTTAGGGAAACAGACTACCTCCCGCTTTTCCCTGTGTAACCTTTTCTCTTCTGACACATATTTGTGACTTATAACGAATACATTCATCAAAGGGAGTCGGCACATATACTGTGGCATCTGAGTCCTTGATTTCCCCTTCCCCTCTCCTGCCTCCATCCCTAGATCTGCTTCCCAGCTGCAAAAGATCCCTCTCACCCTTAAACCAAGACTCCAACACCCAAGCCCTCTCAAGACCACCCTTGTCCTCCAGGACACAGTGATGCACGTCAGCCGGGCCCACTAGCCTCCTGCCTTCCTTGCTGTGTGAGGAATAAAAAACAAGGCACTGGCAGTGTGCTCAATAACCATGCCCTCGCCTCCTGCTTGCCACCCTGAGAGCACCATCAGAAGAAAAATACACACTGTACCCAGGACTGGACACCACCACCACCAACCTCCTGAATGAGCAAAGACAGGTGAAAGTGCCCGTGATCCCCTGTCCAGATAAGGCTAGCAGCTTAAAATCATCTGACGCTGATTTGGGAGGGGAAAATAGGAAATGCCAGTCGCCTCCACGGAAGTGTTACTGGGCAGGGCCTGCTAAGGAGCAACTCAGCTCCATCCTGAGTGAAAACTGCCACTGGACCAATAGCTCTGCTTACAGATGCGCTCCCTTCAGATGCACTCACAGACACGCAGGGTGCTCACCGCATGGAAAAAAAAGAGAAACAACCCAAACAGCAATCAATAAGTTGACAGATAAGTAATATAGCCATATAAAATCTATAGTATGGACACAGGAAAGACAGCCCAGATATTAAAAGGAAAAAAAAAATTGCACTGTATCATATTTAGTACCTTGTTCTTAGCAAAACAACTGCAGCCTATTAAAAATAACACGTATACATAGTAGTATACACACTGGAATAATGTAATAGTTTAAACCAAATTGCTTTTGTTCATCTCTAAGAGGGGATGGATGGAGTCTAAGCTGTTAAGGCTGACCTTGAACTTGTGATCCTCCTGTCTCAGCCTTCAAAGTGGCTGGGATTTCAGGCGTGTACCACCGCACTTGGCAAGACTTCCATTTTTAAAGGTACATATTACTTTTAAGACCAGCCTATAGTGCTCTTATGGGGGGGGACAATTTTAAATGGAAATTCTGCAATTCTAGAAGTTGAGGGAAGAGCAATACTCAACACAGTTCAATGTTTGACCTAGAGGCCAGCTTCACACCAAAACCAAAACATCCTGCCCGCACCACAGAACTCTCTCCACTTTGTGAAAGCGGGAGACACAAGCCCTGATCCCTTATTCATAATTCCAAAACCCAAAGTGGCTTTTAAAAAAATTATAAGCTCATCTAGAACCAAACCTAAACTGACTTGAAAACATTTACAGGCTTTGTGTAATCCACTTAGTGCAAGTATTTATATGTTTTGCTGAAATAATTTTGTTGATGATGTGGTGATACTTTCCAAAATATGAGCAACTCTGAATTCTAAAACACAGCTAGCCACCATGGTTTGGGACAAGGAGTCTGTGGGCCTCCACCCACAGTTAGAGGTATCATAGGTTAGTAAGCATTTCTGTATTTTTTCTTTTTTCTTGAGACAAGGTCTTGCTATGTAGTTCACGCTGGCCCCAAATTCAAGGTGATCCTCTTGCCTCAGCCTCCCCACTGCTGGGATTACAGGAGTAAGCCACCATGCCTGGTCAGCGTTTCCTTTAACAACTTAAATTCTCAGCCAGGCATGGTAGCACATGCTTATAATCTCAGCATGAGAGGCTGAGGCAGAAGGACCACCATCAGTGAAAGCCAGCCGGAGCTACATAACAAGTTCAAAGCTAGCCTGAAACGCACAGCAAGACCCTATCTCAAAAAAAATTTTTTAAGAAACATCTCTAGAAGCATGAAGGGCTCAACATAACATAAACTCACCCAATACTGCCTTCCTCCTGAAACCTAGCTCACATCAGCTGCACGGAGAAAAAGGAACAGAGACCTAGGAAGGTTCTGGAACATGTGACATTTGGTGCTAAGAGCCTGCCTGGAGAGGTCTGAGGAGAGGAAAAGTGCCAAGAGATCTGGAGACCTCTGGAGAAGGACAATGCCTAACTGAAAAGTCAAACCAGGGCCCCAAAAGAGACCAAAGCCCTCTTCCTCCTCCCCTGCAAGCCTGTTCACCAGGCCCATAATAACTGGAGGCCCCTACTATTAGTAAATTGCTACTTAGGTAAGATGCTAAATAATAAGCTTTGCACGCCAGGCTGGTAACCCAACCACATGGCTTTTACGGGGAAATGTGTTCCACATTCCAAATAATCAAATCTGCAAAATGATCTCTGGGAACACTGACAGCCCAGAACTCTTCCCAGCAAGGAACAGCCCTCCAGACACCGCACAGGCCAAGAGAGCCCGTCGGCCAAGGCCAAGGCTATCTCACAGGAAGCCTTGCAAAAGCACTCCCCAAACGTACACAGGCTGCCAGAATACACAGCCCCAGGTCAAAAAAAAGTTTTCTTTTCTTTAGTTTTTGACAGGGTCTTGCTATAGTTCAGGTTGGCCTTGAACTCACTATGTGGCCCAGGTTGGGCTCCAACTCACAGTGATCCTCCTGCCTCAGCCTCCCCAAGGGCTGGGATCACATCTGGGCCAAAAAAAGGTTTCAAAGACAGGACTGTGAGAAATGAAGTTGCACTGGTCTCTGCAGCCTTAAATCTGTCTCTGACAAAGGACCCCTCACCTCCCTTATAAGACAACAATATCCAGAGTTTTAAAGATGTTCCTAAAAATCCATGAGTATTCCAGATTATCATCTACCACTGGAAAACAGGTGTACATATTCAACCTATACCAGGCCAAGAAGAGCAGTGTTCAGTGACTACCCTCTATGTCCCACACAAACTCTCACATCTTTTGCTTGAACATATATTACAACTCCATGAAGGAAGTATCTTATTTTTTTTTATTTTTTATTTTTTATTTCTTTTGGTCTTTTTGAGACAGGGCCTCGCTACGCAGTTCAGGCTGGCCTTGAGCTCACTTTGTAGCCCAGGCTGGTCTCGAACTCATGATCCTTCTGCCTCAGCCTCCCGAGTGCTGGGATGATAGGAGTATGCAACCACTCCGGGGAATATCTTCATTTTAAAAGGGGACTGCTGGGTGCGGTGGCGCACATCTGTCATCCCAGCACTGGGAGGCTGAGGCAGGTGGATCACCGAGGCTTCAAGGCCAGCCTAGGTTACACAGGTATTTAAAGCCAGCCCGAACTACATAACAAGACACTGTTTCAAAAAACAAAGTAAAGGAAGTAAGAAAGACAGACAGGCAAACTAAGGCTCACAGAGAATGGGACATGCCAGCCAAAATCCAAATTTTACTGCTGCACTGTCTAACCAGAACTTCTTTCCACGGATCCAAAAGGTAGCCTCAAACTGTATGGCCACCTCTGGGGACACGTGGATCTCAGCAGGAGCCACAGGTAACCTCTGTGGGCCTTTCTCCTTCAGCACCCACATTTCCCCATTCGTCCCCAGAGGCACAGGCATTCACTGCTAAGTCCAGCTGCTTTGTATCTCCTAGCTCCTGATGTCATCGGCACAACACACAAGGCACAAGCGCAGAGGTTCTGTACAAGCTAAAACAAACGTCTGCTTTTGTAACAGACCAAACTCAGCACTTTATTCATCATTTTGGGGGAGGGGAGCATAGTGGGGATACCTCTTCTGATTCTCAAATTTTCTCCCTCCTGAGACGCAGGGTGGAAGAAATATCAAACGCTTTCAAAACATTAGCTATGTTTGGCCAACCTACTTCCTCCTGTCCGAATTTTCAATGTTATCTATGTCCAGTTCTTCTTAGCTCAAAGGAGGTCAGCAAGCAGCGTTCTCCTCCAAGAAAGGGATCCGTGTACGATCCTTCCCTGGTATCTCCATCCCAGTTATCTGAGCCCAAGTAAAATGAGGCCACGGTGTAAACAAAAGTTACAGACGGGGACGCCTGCCATTCATCTCCTTGCAGAACCAGCCTTTTTAAATTAATGGTTTAGACACCAAGGGCAGTTTCCCCCCATAAACTCTCAGCCACTGAAACCCCAGAGTCGGGCCTCCAAGAGGGACAGGGCAAGGAGGTGGGCCGAGGTGTGGAGGAGGCTGAAACAGGGCAAGGCAGGCCCAGGCCCATCCCAGCAAGGTCCAATGAAAACGGCAGCCGCCGGAGTCCCTCTGTCGCTGACAAATGTCCCACCGGGTCAGGAGCTTCACCGAGACACGCGCCGTTCAAACGTGGGAAACGTCCCCTCTGGAATCCCGACCTCGGGTTTGGGCAGCCCGGGCTCTCCAAGTCCCGCCGCGCCCCCCACCGCTTTCGGCAGCCTCGGTTCAGGCCCTTCCCCCACCCACCCCCGAGCTCCCCTTTCCCGAGGCCCTGCAACTCCTGTTCCGCCCCGGAGCCCATCAGCCTTTGCCCTCCCCAGTTCTACATCTCGCGACCCGAGGCCCCGCTCCAAGCCCCACACCCCTTCCCCGCCCCCTCGCCGGGCGCCGATCCGGCCCCGGCCCTGGCCTCGGCCACAGTCCCGCCGGCCCTACCTGGGGGCGGCTGTCGCTCGCCCTCGGCCATCTTCTCCCGCCAGCAGCCGGCCCGGATCTCCGCGGGCTCTGCTCAACGTCGCAGCCGCACCCTCCCTTGACCCAGCTCCCGCCACGAACTCCGAGCTTGCGGAAGAGAAACGAGCACCGACCGGCTACCACAGAGAAGCGAGACTCGAAGGCACCCCCGCGATGGCCGCCGCCATGCCGGTGCGGGGCACGCCGGGAGCACGCCCTCCAACGGCCGGCGGCGGC